GTGTAAAACAATTAACTAAGAAGTAATGCATCCCGTTTATACATGAGAAAAAACATTATAGAAGATGAGAAGCCAGTTACCACATATATTGGAAAGTATCATAATTAGCTATCAGATAAATAATCATTGTAATCACAATGAGACTCTCCCTTTACTACCTTGTACTTTTGTGCAAAAATTAAAGAAAAATTTCCTATGACGAATACTGGCAAAGATGCAGAGAAAATCAAAATCATTGATATAGTTCTATAGCAAACTGGGGAAGCTGATAATTTCTTCAGAACTTGAAGTTGATATAATCTATGATCCAGTAATTGCAACTTTTGATCTGTAACATGGAATAAAATAATATTCATATTAACATATTCATATACTCATATAACATAGTAGTATGAGAGCATTTATACTGGATCATACACAAACCCAAAGTTTAAATATCTATCAATAAAAGATGAACAAATAACTGTGGTATAATTATGCAGTGGAATATCCACAGAAAGGCAGGTATATGTATGAATTTCCACAGCAATATACAGAGAGGTGCCAAATCAAGGGTCAGTTTCATGTGTCAGCTAATGGGAAGTTCAAGAACAGAACAGTGAAATCATTTTGGGGTGAGGAGCAACAACCTGAGGATAGCACAATGCTGTTGGAGGAATGAAGGGCCAAGGAACATGTCCCAGGTAGATGTGGCCTAAGGTATAGAAGTGATAAAACATGAAGGAATTTTCTTTATGTTGACATGTTTTATACCTTCATTTTGATGTCAGTCAGTAAGTATAACTTAAATATATTTTAAAGACATTAGTTTGCACAATTCAGATCCGTTTCAATTTTATGCTAATTTTCCTAATTTCCACCACATACGTAAGTCAATGTGGACATTGTTTTCCACTAAGTGGCACTGGACATTACTTTTTTAACTTAAAGACAAAACAAAATAGAAAATGGGCAGAAATAGAACATACTTTCAAAGAAAGGAAATAGACAGTAATAAATCACTAGCTGATGTATGCATATTGTCCTCCTATAAATAATTGTGCAAGGTACACAAGTGGAACATATAAAAGGAAATTCAACCAGGGAGACTGCAAACAGTTCTGTTCAACTATCCAACAAAAACTAAGTATTATGGCTATCAATCCTATACACTGAGATATGTACTCATTTATCCATATCTTCATTTATGTTGAGACCTAACACAACTTATTAGGTTAAAATACTTCTGAACAAAGATTAATAATATTGCTGGATTTCACATCATAACACCCCGGAATCAGGATTGGGTACTGCAGTGCCACTTTCTTTCCTTCAAAGTTTTTGTTCATTTCATCATGTGTCATCTTAAAGGAGCCTTGACTCTGTGAGGAATGGTGCAATTTGGTGGCCACTGCAGTGATATATTGTACGGCAGCAATTGCTCAGAGTTCGCCATTTTAAAGGGCAACCATCTCACTAATTTCAAAATGAGGCTCCGGTTAAAATCTTCCAGCTATCAATTATATGACTCTAGACAACTTATGCTCTGTTCATCTTCTGGATATGATCATAGTAATGTGTGATGAATGTAAGTGAAACAAAAAGTTCAACATGTTTATCTGAATAATAATCGGGAAGGAAAACATCCCACATGACTGTAACACCATCATTATAATTACACCACAACTTTGGAAGTGTTCCAGGTTTACAGAACTGAAGTTGATATCAAATTTTCCACTGTTATTGTAAAAGTCAATGCTGTGTGATTGGATGATGAATATCTTTAAGCTGTTTAAGCCATAAAACAGTGCAGACATTATCTATGATGTTTTTCTCATTTTCTTCATTTGTGTCTCCATGTGTCACTGGGGAATGTGTAGGTGTTGTAGATGATTAGCAGAAAAGTCAAGACAATTTTCTAAGTCCCCCAGATGATTAAGTAATAATACTCAAATGAATTACATGCTACTTCTTCAGGGAATATCACAAACAAAGAAGTATATAAATTGTTCTACTTAAAGAAAACCTGAGTAATTTTGATTCTTCCTTAAAGGTGAGTAGTAATTGTCCTCAGTTAAGATCTTCTCCAGGTGTCTGGGCTATCCCATGACTGTTTTCATTTGTTTCATTTATTATTTATTCATTTTTATTTTACTTTTTTTGTTGTCCAGGGATCGAACTGCACAGCTCATGCTTCACAGGCAGGTGCTGTGCCACTGGGCTATATCCTCAGACTAGAATGCCTTTTAAGAGTTAAAGAGAAAAATCAGTAAATAATTATGTCAGCCTATCATAAGTTTGAAAAGTCAGTAACTCTTCAACAGTTTTTATGAACATCTCTTCTATTTTCTAGAACCAAAGTGCAGATAGTGTAAATGTATGTGTTGAAGTTCTCAGAAAATCAGAGATATCCTATACATCACACAAATAAGTGACCAATATCTTCCCTTTTTGTCCACTCTTATATTCTACAATGCATAATTACTCTTTTCAAATTTAAATGTAAATGAGATTTTTTTCTGTATCTGTGTAGTTTTCTTGAGCATGATGTACTCCAGTGTAACTCATGTTGTTGCAAGTAGCAAGATTTCCTTCTACTGATGACTATTCATAAATGCATGTAAGTATGTCATAATGTGTGTATATCATCACACTGAAAAGCTTCAATACATGTAGTTTTTCCAATTATTTTTAAAAGCTGAAAAAAATCACCCTTTTCAAGACATAGTAAAAGATCATAAAGGAAAATAGAATCTAGACATTTTCAGAAGGAGGGAATAATTGAAACTGAAAACATAGATCAACTTAAGACTAGAAAAAATCTTTTAAAAAGCTTTGTAGACCTCAAAGCATAAATTGGTTAACAACTCTGAATTCCTTTTCCCAATTTTAGTGCACATCCAATTACTAAATGGTAAAACTAAATGATAACTGCTCCTGAAAACCTGCAAAATTAACTTAAAGTTCTCAGGAGAGCTTAATTTGTGAGAGAAGGATGAAAAAAGGACAGTTTGATCAACCTCATGCAGGAAAAGGGTATAGAGATTGATCTGCACTCAACAATTCTGCTCTCTTCTCCTCTCCACTTCTCCTGGGTTAGAAAAGAAAAATGAGTGCAAACATACAAAAAGAAATCAAAGCCCTGGAAGTGTGGTCTACACACAAAATAGCTCAAAAGGCTCCAAACTGCCGGCCCCTACCTGTGGTGGATGCCCAGGGGTTTCTCCTCAGTGTTTGCATAAGCTGACAACAGCATTTAATAATTGATGAATTACATCGTGGAAACAGATTTGATGATGGAGTCTTTATTACTGAAATATTATAAATCATGTTATTGTACTCTATTAATGTAGAGATAAATTTACAGAAACATATGATGTTATAAATACTTGATCAAAATTTTTTATTTCTTCTAGACCTAATCATGTTTATCATGTTATACTAGAGGAAAAAGTGAATCAAATTAACTAATGAAAATTTCAACTACTCATATTATTCAGCAGGAATAGACCCAAACTCCAGATCTGGGTTCCTAGAAGCTTATATTAGGAAGTGTTTTTCTTTAGTAAAAATGAAAAGAAAAAAATGGAAAGAAAATTGCTTGTGTAAGTTTAAATGTGAGTGTGAATATTTATGCACAGTGGTAAGTGAATTTTAACATCTCAATCCCAGAAAATTGATCATGAATCACTTTTACAAAAGATTATTAAATTTCAAACAAAATTCAGCATACTTTGTAGAAGCAAGATTCTTAGAGATATTTCTGCATCTAAATAGATATTATTATTAAATGATAAGGATTGTTGACTCTGAACTATATAAATGAGTATATTAAATATCACAGAGTGTCCTCCACCTCACCCACCCTTTGCTATCCCCTGCATGTGCTTACAGTTGCAGCAATGAGACCCTGTATTTGTTAATATGTGATAAGGGTGAAAATTGCCAAGCTAAAGAAATTAGAATAAATTGACTATAATTAAAATTTGTCTCGTTTAGAAATTTTAGAACAATAAACAATATTCTGAAAGTTAAGACACTCAAATTCTTGGAAAAGAAGTTGAGTGACTTTGGAGCTCGAGTCGTTAGATTCATGCTATTGCTGCCTCTGCCTTTACTGTTGTGAAAATCAGGACCAACTAGATAGAACACATGCATCACAAAGTGACTTGGAAAGCCTCAGGTATATTTATGCCAGAAGGCGTGGGGAACCTGAGTTTCAAATCACCTGCCTGATCTTGGGGTTAAGCAGACATATGTATAAGTTTCAAGCACAAATTACAAAAAGCTGAGAGAAGTTAGTTTATAATTGGTTACATAGACTAGGTGGTATTTTGTCAGGAAGATTTGCTCTGGATTACAGGGAGTTTCTAATTATACAACAGGATGGTCAGGGGCTTTGTTGAGCAAGGAGACTTAATCATTGCCTTTGACTGAGCCAGTCTGTCCTAGAGCTATTGAAACAACATAACAGGGTGCATTTCTGGCTGAGCTGTCTATCTGACAAGTGGCAGCTGGTGTGGGGGCTGTCAAGGCCAGCTGAGTCTGACTGGGCAGGGCCTGGCCATCATGTCTTCCACACAATGTCAGGCTATGAGACTTTTAAAATTTCTTTTAAATTACTGATATTGAAATTCCATAAAAAACTCAAACATCGAGTGTACAAAAGAAACTCTGTGACATCTTTATGAAAATGAAATCACCCCAAATGTTGTATTAATAGCTACATGGTTTTACTATAATTGGGCATGCTACAAATATTTTGGACACATCACATTTACAGTTCAATCTGTGATGGACCAGACTATGTTACATATAAGCACACTTCTGTTTTGGGAAGTGAGATATTCTTTCTTCCATCTTATTTTCAGAATCAAAAGTTGAAATAATTTTTCAGTATTCTATTATGAAGAATATTCTTCACTCAATTATAAACAGTGTAATAAACTTTTAGATAACAATTATGCAGGTCTATAACAATACGTTTGCTTTATTTTCCTGAAGAAAATGTAACAGAAGTCATGGGTGAGAAGAATATAACGTCACCAACTTACTTCACCCTGCTGGGACTCACAAGGGTGCCAGAGCTGCAGTTTCCTCTATTTAGTGTCTTCCTCTACATCTATGGAATCACAGTGGTGGGTAATGTGGGCATGATTGTTCTGACCAAGTTGGACTCCTGTCTGCACACACCTATGTATTTTTTTATCAGACATCTAGCTTTCATTGATCTTGGCAATTCCACTGTCATTTGTCCTAAGATGCTGGTCAATTTTGTTGTGGATCAGAATACTATTTCCTATCAGGCATGTGCCATGCAGCTGTGCTTCTTCCTTATGTTCATCATCAGTGAATTCTTCATCTTGTCAGCTATGGCCTATGACCGCTATGTGGCCATCTGCCACCCTCTGCTCTACAACATCGTCATGTCCCAGAGACGCTGTCATGTGCTAGTGGGTGCTACATACCTCTACAGCACCTTTCTGTCTCTGATGTTCACAGCTAGGATCTTTACACTGGACTTCTGTGGCTCCAACATCATCAGGCATTTCTATTGTGATGATGTCCCTCTGTTACCTATGCTTTGCTCCAATCCACAGGAAATACAGTTGTTGATCATATTCTTTTCAGCATTCAACTTGATTTCCTCACTCCTGGTAGTTCTCTTATCCTACGTGCTGATTGTCATAGCCATATGGAAGATGAATTCAGCAGAGGGAAGGAAGAAAGCTTTCTCTACCTGTGGATCCCATCTGACAGTGGTAGTGGTCTTCTATGGATCTCTCCTCTTTATGTACTTGCAGCCTGAATCTGCTCATTCCTTTGAGACTGATAAAATCGCCTCTGTGTTTTACACTCTAGTGATCCCCATGCTCAACCCCTTGATTTACAGTTTTAGGAACAAAGAGGTGAAAAATGCCTTCCACAGGGTCTTCAAGAAACAATGCAAATTTTAATTTAGGAAAAGCAGTAAAATACTCTAGGGAAAAGTACCATTTTATAACACTTCCATAATTTTTTATGTACTCAAAGAATTCAACATATTTTGGATATATGTGCACATTACAAGCTGATAAATCCATTGCAGAATATGATGATACACATCAGCTGTTATTCATCGCTTTTTCTGTTACACTTAGAATCCATATTACACATGGATTTCGCACTGAATTGCAACTCAAGAGTTCATAACAATTTTCTATTGCACATCTGATTTTCATTTCATTTTTTGTTTGTTTTGCATTGATCTTTTGATAGACACTTTGCTTTGAAATGTTAGATATTGGGAGTAGCACTACAATGAACATGGAGATGAAAATATCTGTATGGAAGGAAGAATTTATTTTCAATGGCATATACCCTGGGGAGAGGTTGCTGTGTCATATGATGCTTTCATTTCTAGTACATGTGGTGCCTTCTATTCTGTTTGCCCTAATGATTGCACCAACCTATATTCCCACTAACATGGTAGAGGTTCCCTTAATCCACATCCTCACCAATAATTATTTTCTCTTTTTCATAATTACCATCCTTATATACAAGAGACAAACCAAATTTGTCAGGTTCTATATTTGTTAACAATTGAATTTGGTTTTCCACTACTTGCTTAATATATTATATTTAATGTTTTCACTAGAGACATCATCTTGCAGATTTGTGTTTCTTCTGAAGTCATTGAATGTAAGCCTGGCTTCATAAAAGTGTTTATGAAGGTTGTTCCTGCTTGCAATTTTTGAAAGTGTTTAAGAACAATTGGGATTAGTTGCTGTATGAATGGTTAATGGAATTCAACTTTAATATCACTCACTTTTGTACTTCTGTCTGTTAGGAGGTTTCTAACTCCTACCTCATACAGTTCCTTTGAAGAGTTCTGGTTTTTTCTACGTATGTGTGATTATTTGAAGGTAGTATATTATTAGGACTTTTTCTATACCCTTCTGATTATTGATTTGTTCTCAACTTATTCAGAATAAAATTTCATAATTATTTCAACTTGAACCATCAATTACATGTCTACTTTCTTTCATGGTTTTATTTATTCACGTGCTCTCCCGGTTTATTACTATGAGAGTTTTCTATTTTATTTTCAAAAACTTAATATAAATTTATTAAATGAATTGGATTTTCTTTCCAAGTACTTAGAGGTTACCTATGGATTTCACACTGAACTGCAACTCGAGTTCACAATAACAATTTCCTCAATGTATGTATAAGAAAAGAAACATATTCATGCAGAAAATATATTAAAATAAGATTTTGCCTTACCATCTAGAAAACTGCATCATTTCCTTCTCTAAAAACTGTCCAGACTGAACTATAAAGATGTCATTTTTTCTTATGCATGCCTTCACCTTATAATTAGCTTGGGAGAAATATTGTAAATCTCAGACTTTGCTCTGTTCAAATAGTACTGAATATCCACTAAACTAAACACACACACACACACACACACACACACACACACACACACACACATTGAACTTGGCTACAGCAAAGCCAAAGAATTGGCCTTGCTACTCTCAAGGTCATTGTAAAATTTTTTGTTTGTATATTCAGGGCAAAATATTATTTTAGACAGTTTTTATGCACTTATCAAGAGTATGGTACACCTTAGGTCACTTCTGACCAGAATTTGTTTTTTCCATTTTTCCAAGAGTTTCTAAATGTGAACCCACAACTAGAAAGCCAAGTAAATTGTTAAGAAAAATGATACCCCATGGAATAACAACTTTCTCAAAAAGGTAATGTGCTAAATAACAACTTGCTGATTACTGTTATCCTACATTTCTTCTACTGGGAAAATTCTATGAGCCCCAGGTTATGGTATGGGCTGGACACAGCCCCTTAGACTCCAAGGAAAAATCCATGAAAGTAAAAATGAGACAGATATACTTAGCTCTTTTCCAAAACCACACAGTGTTACTTGCATGTGCCCCCATTCAAGCATGATCATTGATCTACAGTGCATTCAAGAAACTTTTCAAAGAAGTCCCTCTAGCCCAACACAGACACCACAGAATGGGAACTGCATGCATGATCCTTACTCTTAGATTTTCCCCACAAAACAGAGCATTCTGCTCCACCAAAAGAAGGATAGATCACTCTATTTGGAGCTGTCTGCCCTGTGTTTCTTGCAGATAGCATTGTGTGATAGGCTAACAGTGCACAAGATGCTGATGCACTAATCCTTTATCTCTGCTCTTCACATGGTTACAGGGGTGATTGTGAGAGCTCAGCACATGGCCTTCTCTCCCACAGACCCATTCACTTCCTTTGTAACCAAACAGTTCAAAGTCTTAACTGAAGAAATGTCTGATTTCTCTTGTTGGCTACATAACTGTTCAAAGATCATGGGAGTACACACCTTGCACAAATCAATGCACACAAATCATGAAAGAAGACAGATATTAGAATGTTAGAGACTCAGCACAAACCTTAAGCTTTCCTTATACTCATCAGGCAAATGGAATGTGGTAAATGTGATAACAAGAAACAAGGGCATGATGCAGGATTCTGGTAAAGTGTGTGTCATACAACCGACATCTGAGAAGAGCATTCCCACAGAACACTGGGAATCACAGTTCCTGGAGGAAAAAGAATGGTGACATATGCATGCTTTCTCGAAAGATGCAAAGGTAAGAAGAATTATCTGCTTCTCAGCCCTTGCTTTGTTTCCAGATAGGCAAGCAGGTGGGGGATGTGAGCCCTGGTCTATGGTGAGTGGAACAATAAAATGAGCAGGAGGAAACTGAGAAACACACAACACCTTGGCTGTCACCTTGATGCATGAGCTTTTTGCTCTTCTTTTGTAACCTAAGGGGAAAGCCTCACATTTTGTATGGGGGAAGATTGTTTGCTTCAAGATCAATGATGCTGTGTGCACTTTGATGAGATGACATAAAACCATCTAAGTTACTTTTATAGTGACAATGAGGAAGGTGTGGGAGTAAAACATAAAGGAAAAACTTACCCTACTCCATGCAGAGAGAAGTTAAATATGATCCAATCCCAGAGCTCACAACTACCTTGTGTCCAGATGATGACCCTGAATATGGAGGACATTTGAAAATGAACCTACACAGAACAAAGCCCACTTTCTTCTTCTCTACAGTAGTGACTGGACAGCAGGGGCAGACACAGCCCATGGACTAACCTTCAGCTCTCTGGGGAGTTAAAATGCCCTTCACCCAGGCCAGCTGCAGAAGATTCTGCTGTACTTCCTGAAGGGACAGCCCAAGACCCAGGGTGATTGAGTCCATAGTTCCTGCACAGGCCAGGGCACAGGACGGGGATGACCACAAAACAAAGGTCTCCAGAACACTAATTTATACAGTTCTGTCTTGTGATAAACTTAGCACCTCAGTACCTGGACAAGTGGAATCAAGCAATCAGCAATCAGAAGAAACCTCATTGTCTTTATCTATGTACAGTGTATAAGAACACATACTTTAACAAGTAGCAGGAGTTTTGTTTTAAATTCTGAAATATTTTGATTTGGAACAATCTTGATATATATTATCCTATATTAGGCATATTTCCCCATTCATAGTGTTGAAAGTGTGTTAAATAAATGGGTGAAGGAGTTTGGAAATTTCTTTCCTCTTAGAATCTCTCTCTCCTCAGGGAAAGTTTTTGTCATCCAGGTCGCCCAGATTCTCATCATGACAGCTCTGTGCTTTGCAGTGACAATAGCCACTTTTATTTCCATTGAATGATGGTTTCCACCTATGACTGGAATTCACTACCACCTGTGGGCACCTTTTCCTGGGAGCATCAGTAATGGTTCATCTGCCTCCAATTCAGCTCTCTGCAAATACCTTCATCCCTGCCCTGGGAATCTGGTATAGTCCCTTCAAGGTCTGCAATGCAGGCTGACAACTAGCGTTGACGCTCTTGGCAGGAGAGTGAAGGGAACTCGGGAGCTGTCTAAGAACTGGAGGCAAAGATAGCTTTAAGCGGATTTGCTCTCTGATGAGTTCCTTATCTCTGGAGTGCTGTCCATTGCTGCTGCAACAAAATCCACCAATGGACTGGTAAGTGTCTCAGTGTGGAGGCTCTGCATGCTGTAGTGAAAGAGGACTTGTCCAGTCACTTGTGTAAGGCACATGGAAACTCGTTGGTCACTCAGAGAAAGATTGTAGTATTGTTGTGGCACATAAGAGAGAATACGTTTGTTTCTGAGTGATCTGTTTCTCTACTTGAAATACACCCCTGCACTGGAGACTGGAGGAAATCTACTTTCTACCACTCCTCAGTCCTCCTTCATCTTCAGAGCAGGGGATCTTCCAAGGAGATTAGCAGACTCAACTCAATTGAGATGAATATCATTTTCTGACCATTCAAACACAGGAAGAGCATGAGATTATAGTTTCCTTATACTATTTCTCTTACCTCATTTTCAAGTCCTAGGAATTCTGGGAATGAATATCTTGAATAGTACTGTGGCAGGGTTTGGAGTTTGTGTACAACTTTTTGAGGTCTTATTAACGATTCCATGTAACTTTATGTCATGTACTGGTGACTACTGCCCTGAATACATTTCTTGTTCTCTAAGTATTTCTATGTCCTGCCTGTGATAGAAACTTGCAAATGGGTTTACCATCTGCAGTGGTCACTGTGAATTTGCTCCACGAACTAGAATAGATGCCATTTTGCATGCCTGTTGAAGGATCTCCAAAAATTATAAGCCAGAGTATATGGCACCTTACCAGGAGCACTGAGCTGATAGTTGTATTTCAAAACCTCTTCCATTCTGAGAGTGTTGTGAAGTTATTCAGTAGAAACTTCTAAAAAAATTAAAGTTCTCCCAGGAGCACTCATTTTGTGAATGTAATGTCTTATAGAAGGGTAACAGGCAAACCAACAGCTTCTGAAATTCTCGAGTCTGCAGAAACCCTGAGTTCACAAAGGCCTATAAGTGTGGCAGACTATCTGGGACAGCACCTGGCCTTATTGT